TGCTCTAGGTTAGTTTTCATAATAGTTAATGATACAGCTGTGCTCTTCTACCTGACTCCTACCACACTATTTGAGTAATTTCAGTGCTGACAAAACAAAGTTTCTTAAAAATCACTGTTGTCCTGAGGAAGGTCGAAGACTTCATAGAAATCTGCACTTACCCTTATTACAAAAATTTGTCTTTTTATGTCTTTCTGGCGTTGCCAAAAGGCAAAAGAAGGACAGATATTAGAGCGGGGGGAAGATCTGGAGCATGCAATCAATTGTCTTAAAAACTTGACAGTGTAAGATGTTTCTTTTAATGACATTTTCTAGTGGTATGTCATATCTGATTTTGCATTATACAAGTGATTGTCTTTAAGTTTCTTCATTTTTCTGTCAGGAAGCTATTTCAAATACTGCACTTAGACRTCACCTTTCTTAGTTTTCCTCTGTTACCTGCATAAGATGCGCACTTAAAAACCACCAATTTAAGCTGCACCTCCATCTCCCCATACAGATCTGCCTGTGTCGGTGGYCTGGTGTGTCTCAATTACCTTGTAACAAGGCTGTCCCAAGATATCCTCATAAAGTTTGCTGGTCTTTCTCAGCTATGGTTCTTCCTCTAATCCTTCTGTAGCTTGCCAAAAGCTTTCTGGACCCTGAGAGATTCAGAAGTGATCTTACTATAAAAAAGAGAAAATAATGACTGTGTGCTGGTTTCTGTGATTTGTTGCTTTACATGAAATGGCTCAGAGTTCACAGCTGTCCCATATTTATCTACCCAGTTCCTAGGCACTGGTGAGGGAAGGCAGGAAAGTGTAATATTGTGCTTTGACTGATGGCTTTGCTGCTGCTGGTTCTTACAGAACAGCCACTGGATGTCTTTTAAATTAAACATATTGTTTTGCTCATTTTCCTTCTTAATTCTGTTGTACTCATACCTCCTCTGAGGTATGGAGATCTATGGGTATAATGAGTTAAAAAAGAAAAAAATAATAATTTATTGAGGGCATAATGGTCTGGCTAATAACTTTTGAATAATGTGAGCTAATGCAGGTTTATATGGGTAGCCAGCTCCTGTATGCTGTAAGTGTGATGAATTATCTGAAACAACGAGGTGCAGAGTACTTACAAATCGATGCACACCTCAAGAGGCCACAGTTCAATACCTTCTGTGCTTCCCAGCACCCACCCTGCGCCCCTCTCCTTTTTCTTCCATAACCGTGTCTCTAAAAATAATTCTCACAGCAACAAAGAGAATTTCTGGACAGTGAAGACCATCTGGGTCTCAGGCTTTGTTGCTTCTATGCTGTAGTGTAGCAAAAGGCCKCTTTAATGTGTTTGGTTTGTTCTTTTTTTCATTTCTTTCTTTTTCAGTGCCTTTGGTCAAGCCTTTTTCATTATGAGACTCAATTAGGCTAGCACTTGTTTAGCTTAATATCTGATAAGACCATTATTTTTGAGTGCAGGCTATGACCAATTCTTACTTGGATTCAATGTTCAGGAATAACAAAAATGGTTCACTATTTCTGGTAGTAGAGAGACTACAGGGGTGGCTTCTCTGAGGAGCTGCCAGAAGTTTGCAACATGTCTGACAGAGCCAGTGCCAGCCAGCTCTGAGATGAACCCACTGCTGGCCAAGGCTGAGCCCAACAGTGATGGTAGTAGCACCTCTGGAATAAAGCATTTTAAAAGAGAGGAAAAAATCCTGCACAGTTGGAGCCAGGGAGAGGAACGAGAATATGTGTGAGAAACAGCTCTTCAGATACTTTTGTTGAGACACAAAGGTCAGTGGACAAGGAAGAGGTGGTGCTCAAGCTTCCTGTGCCCCTGAAACCCATGGAGGTCCATGGGGATACAGAGATCCACCTGCAGCCCCTGGAGGACCTCACRCTGGAGCAGGTGGATTCCTGAAGGAGGCTGGAACCCTGTTGGAAACCTGTGCTGGAGCAGGCTCCTGGCAGGACCTGTGGCTGCGTGGAGAGAAGAGACCATCCTGGAGGGGGTTTTCTGACAGGACCATGACCCTGTGAGAGATCCACACGGGAGCAGGAGGTTCCTGAAGCGCTGCACTCTGCAGAAGGGGCTCCTGCTGGTGCAATTAATGAAAAGACTGTCCCCGGKGGGCAGGACYRCACCCTGGAGCAGGGGAAGAGTGGCAGAGAAAATGASTGGTGAACTGACTGCAGCCCCCATTCCTCATCCCTATTGCCGGTGGGGAGGAGGTAGAGGATTTGGGAATGGAGTTGAGCCTGGAAGAAGGGAGGGGTGGGGGGAGTTGTTTTCAAGATTTAGTTATTTCCCATTATCCTACTAAGATTTGATTGAAATTAAACAACTTTCCCCAAGTCAAGTCTGTTTTGCCATGACTRTAACTGGTGAGTGATCTCTCCCTGYCCTTCCCTCAGCCCATGAGCCTTTCATTATATTTTCTCCCCCCAGTCCAGTTGAGGAGGGGAGTTGTAGAGCAGCTTTGGGGGGATCTGCTGTTCAGCCAGGGTCAGCCCTGCACAGTTATGAATGGACATCTACCTGCTGGAAGGACTCCCATGAACACTGTAGGGCTCTGAAATGAGCAGATGTGTTTGTGTCTGATAACACAAATCATTTACTTGAACCGGAAAGGTTGCAGTGTTTGTGTCTAGTGGTCAGGCTTTGATTAGACTCAGCAGTGCGCTCTTTTAAGTGCCTCTGTTTTAAGACAGATATGTGTCTCTTGGCCTCCTAAAATTTCTAGAAAAGAACAATTTTTTCAGTACTTCATAGACTATATGTGAATCAACAAATTAGGCCTAATCAGGCAAATTATATAGTACTACAGGAAGCCTAATCTTCATAATCCTTTTAAGTCCTTAGTGGTTTAATTTGCTGAGTGTAAGCAATGCCCTTTATTCTTTGGGAATATATTGAGCACCAAGACAATATTTCATATCTAAATAATAAATGTACCCATTTATTCTGTGACACTGTATAGAAATGCAGTTAATATTGTTGAAGGCTGAGCACCCTCTGCTTTTCAGTAAAGWCTTCTAGAGCCAAAAGTTTGAAAGAACATTTGAATATAAACTACAGAGATATTCCCAAATGGCCTGGATACTGTATGAATAAAATTATTGTGTTATGTGGGATTAGCTATTGATTTAGAGAACAGARTGAAGGTGAGAGTTGTTTCTTCATTGTGGATTTGTTTTGGTTTATTCAGATTTTTGTTTGGTTGCTTATTTGCATTTAAAACAGAAGACTCTTAAGTACTAATATGCATTAAAATGAAAAAATAAAAAGAGCTTTAAATTATCTTTTTACCTTTTAAAATTTATTTTAATTAAGAACAAACAGCTGAGAAATTCTTTTTTCCCCCCAGAGCTTCATTTTTTAAGTAATCAGAGTATTAATAAGAAACCATTATCTGAATGTTGTTACTGAACACAAACTAGTTGAATGTTCAGTGTAGTTGCTACAGTTGCAAATTTTGCAAGCTAGATGAGTATATTTTATATGTGCACAGCCCTAGGATTAAAAACACTAAGATCCGGAAATTAAATAAATACTTTCTGCACACCATACTGATGTATACTCATTACTCTTTTCATCTATGTATTCTTTTATTGTCATGCAGACAAAAAAAAAGCAATAAAATGTTTGCTGTAAGTCACAGTACAATGGTGAATCAAAGTATTGCAAATACTGTTTTTCTGAGTTCTGTATCTACAATTATCAAAAAGCTTTTTCATAATTCATGCAATTTCCTGAGGTTGATTTTTTAAGAAAGTAAAGAAAATCTAGAAGTTCCARTGTGTTTGTTTTGAAAGCTGCCTTWCCATTTGAAATTTCATAGCATCTAGAAAAGTTCCCTGTGACTATTAGGAGGTGTTTTGTATTTTCGCCATGCATGTACAACTTCGTTGTAATTTCAATTTCTGTAGCCACATTTGATGTTTCAGATGTAATCAAAGAAAATCTAATCCTTAAGGCTACGTAACATATTTTTATTTGAAAAACTTTCAATATGAATCATGCAATTTGATGTTTCACATTCCTTTTGTGAAACAATGTCAAAAAAGCCTGAAAGTCAAACCAAGAATGTTAACAGTCGCTGTCACCCACACTACCTTTGCTGTGCTCCTTATTTTYGAAGCTGGACCTGCCTGGTTCTTAATGATCCTGACACTGATTAGTGTTTGACTTAACTGAAGGGAGGATGGGCTTTGGGTTAAGGCATTAGCTTACAGAATTTGCATTTCAATTCTTTTTCGAGTTTCTATGGTTCATGTTTCTGAGACTTCTTTCCTGACACCTAATGGTTAGAAAAAAATTGTTTAGTGAAACAAAGCTTCTGTAAATCATTAGAAGAAYGAAAGCTCATCAAATATAATGAGGGCCTAGACAACAATTCTTTTTTCAGCAGTACTGAAGATCTTGCCCTCTTCTGGCTCCACTACTCTGAGATGGCAAATTTTGTGGTACAGAAGAGCTAATTTCAATTAACAGCAYTTTYRTTGCRCTGCACAGTGGTTTTTGCAGAGGTGCTGAGCTGTGGAGGATGGTGGGGAATTACTGAGTGGGGCTTTTTTTTTGCACTTATCTAATGGGTCCAGAATGCTCTCTGTATGTTGCATACTTTAATAATGTACAATTCTGTGAATGTGTATTTCTGTTTGTGTATATTAATATCTATTTTTAACTTTCATATGTAAACATATACAGAGAGAATAGCTCTGTATTTTAATTAAGTTCTGATAAAAAAAGATTACTTGCCTAGATGATCCATAAAATACTAAGTAMAAATTAAAGACTTAGCTAGCTTTTCCTGTGAGAAGCAGTAAGTCATTTCCTGGTGCAAAGAATAACAAAATTACYGACTTTCCCATTATCTTGGCTCATTTTTGTTCGATGCCAGGTGGTTGCTRGAGTTTGACAAATGATTGATTTGGTTTCAAAGGGTGCTTGAATTGCACAAAGCATTTTTCATATTAGAAAAGACATGGTCATTTTTTTCCCCAGGTTTTAAGATTTATCACCTCGCAAAGTGTTGTAAATTAGTTTGTTTGCTATTTATTTTCTCTGGATTGCTGTAATTTATGTCATTAGTTGAAGGGCAAGTTTTACAGATGGTTGGAGGGATGGCCTTTTAAGCATACACCCTTTCATATTTATTTATTTTTTAAACACTGCTACAGGACTGCAAGTCAGATGGGTAGATTGCTACTTCCCATTTACTCACCCTTCCTTTGAGATGGAGATCAACTTCCAAGGAGAATGGATGGAGGTCCTGGGCTGTGGGGTCATGGAGCAGCAGCTTGTTAACTCAGGTACTGAAACTCCTTTACTTCACTGACATCTCTGTTAGCAAACACTTCCAGTGCAATCAGCTTCACAGTCAGGAATGCCCCCTTCTACCCTGGTGAGCACAGACATCTCTGCCTGGCAGCCACCACAAATGCTCCTCATGTGGAATGCAGCCCTTGCATGCTGTGATTTGAGGGCAGCAGCTGAGCAAGTGACCCGGAGCCTGCAAACAGAAAGYTCACCTTTTATTTTGTGCAGTAAGCAGATAGACAGATGTCAGCTTTAAAACAGAGCCTGCAAATTAGGGCGTGCAGGGTTTTTTGCTTTCCCAAGAGATGTCAAGTGCATTCTTAGTAATGATTTAAAAATATYGATAGCAAATAACTTCCCCTAATATTTTGAATGTCAAAGTGCTCCTGTATATCTAAAGCATAGAAAGAGGAATGTGGTATCTTTCATATTGCTATTTGGTCGCTGGATAAATGGTAGGTAGCTTTTTTCTTTTGTTTTGTTTCTTTTCTCAGGTTGGTTGTTTATGAGATTGTAAATTGCATTAAAAGTAACATCATTTATTTTAATTGAAATTATAACAGAGCAATGTCACCTGATAATTTTGCTTTCTAAAACTTATAAGTATTTTGCTGTTAAAGAAGGAGAGGATAAATTGGTGGATTTTTTSTAATTATTTTTATATGGAGAATTTTTCATGCTTACTTTTTCATTTGCTGAGAATAGGCAATTCTTAGTAAGCACGGGACAGACTACRTGTGCTCAGTCCTCTGTCATTCAGTGTCTTCCAGTACTATTTATTAGGTATGTGAGCCTTTTGGAATGGGATCTGTTTAATTCCAGCAAGTGGGCTTTCAGGTAGCCAAGATACTAGTTGATTTTTTCCCATTGGTTTGCTAAGCTGTTGTTGTATTTTCATGTGCTCTAAATTCTTCCCGTTGAAGACCAAATATGATAATAAGAATTACTGAATTTTGGCACCATTTACTTGGCACAGCTTGTTTTCCTCAAAGTTTGCAMGTATTTTAATGTGATCATTTTCCTTTTGAAAAGATCCTCTTTCCAAGTTTCCCCACAACGAATTAATGATTTATGCTAATGTTCGTTCTCGGGTTATTATGTTCATAGTGTGGTAAATACAATACAGCTTCTAATCAGTCTCAGAAGTGAAAGACTGCTGTGTAATATTGTTTCCATTAGATGTAACTCATCAATGTCCAGRCTTCCTGCTTCAAAAGCTTTTATGTTGCTCAACTCTTATGATTAGGTTCCTCTAATGGGTGTGAAAAGAGCTAAACTGTGTCTCAAAACAATTACTGTATACATTTGTGTGTGTGTATGAATGGATATACGTGAAACACCAGAGGTTTCTGCAGCATTTTTTTACCACTTTATCTTGCGTGGGTTTCCATAGCACTTTCTCACCCTTGAAATTTCACATTTTTTAAATGTTAAACCAGATCAGGATTTGCCAAGGGAGGACAGCCAGCCTCATTCTTAGTCATTCACTGTGTAATAGACCCAGTCTTCTGGACCATTCAGATTTTCCATGTTAGCAGCAAGCAAGGTTTCTGCTGTCTTGATGTGTAGATGCGCTAGTACAATTTAGTAAAGGCTGCAAGTACCATCTTTATTAAAGCAAATTTAGCTATTGGTTATTTTTTAAGAGGTGTTTCCTTTCAGGAAAGTCTCCTACAACAACAAAAAAGAATAATACAGTTTTATTTGCTATTTTCTAACTGTGATACTATTTAAAAAAAACCCAAAAACATAAACCCTGTTACTGTGTTTTWATATAATCATTAAAAAAATAAGCAGTACTCCAAAGATGCATGGAATTGTAAGGGATGATGTTACACTTTACCCTAAGGCTGATGGTGCTCAACTAGAGCAAGTATTTGGTATAATGTGAATGCAGAAGATCATTTGGTAATCAATGTTCAGTAAAAGGTATAAAATCTAATTAATTTTACTATTTAACTTCCTAACTTTTTTTGCCTTCTTTTTCATCTTTATACCTGAATACATAACTTCAATAGGAGTGTTATTTATGAATGTCCATATAAAGAAAAGGCTTTTTGTTCTGGTTAGTAATGGGAAAAAACCAGAAACTTTGGAGTATAGTAGGAAGTACTCTCAGTTTTAGGTCTATGATGAGGATACAGGGAAATTTTGTGGTACAGAAGAGCTAATTTCAATTAACAGCACCCAATRTATGTATTTCTGTACTCCAAGAGTTTGTTACCTAAGATTTGGGRATCTGGTGTTCATGGGTAAATGTTGAAGTTCCAAGTTTGTATGGAGTTCTAAAATTCAAACCTTTGAATACAGGACKTTGCTTACTGAGAGGTTGTGATCACATAGCGTTGCTTAGTAACTGTGAAATTGGAAGCAGTTAGGGTGTGATCCTTTGCTGATGGAAATCAATGGCAATGTTCTCAGTGCTCAGTGTTGCAGAATATGTTAGCTGGGGACGGAAACAAGTAAATTGCACTGAAGTTTTCCTCAAAACCATGAGACTATAAACCAAATAATTTAAAAATAAAACTAAACCCAAACAAAAGCTCCCCCACCACCCCCAAAGCCAAACTCACAAACAATAAAAAGAAGAAAATTCCGTAATTTTTTAGTAAGACTTCTCATGATGTTTTTAACTCCTGAGGTGTGCAATAAAATAATGAAAGGGTGGCACACCAGATCCAACCTCAAGTCTAGGGCATCGCTGCGTCATGATGACATCCCAGGCCAGTGCCTACAGATAAGTGGGGCAGGCTTRGTTATACTGATCCTTCCCTGATATGCTCCTGCAGCTGCCTGTTTTCTGAGCTGGAAAGGGTGTGTTTGTTTACAGTAGTCATTGTGGAATTTTCTTCCATTCATTTGTTGAAATGTTTGAGTCCCAGTAAATCTTTACTCTCTATAATGTCTTACATTACCTAACTTGCATGAGGAATCACTTCYTTTTTGTTCTGACCAACAACTTAGAGATACGTTAGAACTCTTCTGTCATGCAAGAAGAGTTAGTGAGTCTCTCTGTCTTTTTCCTTGTTTAAGCCRCTCGGTATTTGTTTAGATCTCAGTTGCAACTCTTGTCATTGACTTCTTTCCAAGCCAAAGAATGCTGGTCAGACAGTCCCTCCCTATGTGGGAGCCTATCCATATGTTCTGAGTCATGATCACTCCCGCCTGCATCTTCTCCAGGCTTCTTTTTTTCCTTTTCTGATAATTCTTAATACTCATTTTGCTATGTTGACCTTTAATGAGCCTTGAGTTGAAAAAGAAGGGGCGGTTTTGGTATGATGACTGCTGCAAATGATGGCTTTTGATTGCTTGCTGATGGTTGAAGCATCCTGGCACACAGCCAGACATTCAGCCCTGGGGGSCAGCTCAGGTTGAGGTCTCATTTCCAAAAATTGTGAATCATGAAGGCTGCTGTATTTAGGCTACCAGTAAGAGGAACTGGTAATACTTTCCTGCTGTATGCAGATTTTTTTACGTTTCACATCAGAAATTAACAGTGATATTTACAGTCTTACAAAACTGATTTCATTTATCTGT